TTGTATCAAGTTAAGACGGCGTGTTTAAACAGTTTAGTTCCCAAAACACTATATAAATACAAATAATGTCTCACAAACCAAATCCTTCATTAATTAGTATTTCTTGGTTTATATATTTAGGCACATAAACGTATTCGTGTCAACGATCATGGTGCTAGTCTACCAGAAATAATACATTTTGAATTGGTAGATTTTCCTAAGTTATGCCATGCACAGGCTTCCGTAAAGAAGAAGAATTTATTCGCATTCAATTTGACAGTCCACGGAAATTCGGCCTTATTTGTTAAATAAAATACATTTTTTAATACAAATTTTGTTTGACTGTAGTGAACTTTTTTTATTTATCAAAACAAATACTTCAGAGAACATATCTTGTTGTATAAAACAACTAATAATGGATATTTTGATAATACGTTAATGTAAAACCTATAGCGATTTAATATTGAAATACTTAAATCTTTCTTGCTTGGAAGTGTAATTGCATTAAGTTTGCATAAATTTGAAAAAAAATACAACAATACTATTGACAATGACACACTATTATTGTGATGCTAGACTTAAGAAAGCTCCCTCAGCTTAACGATTAATTTATCTCAGACCTGAACTAAATTTGTAGAATTTTAGCACATTACTCGAAGTTCACCGTGGTAAACAGTAAGCATATACAGGAAGTGTAGAGGTGTTCCTTAACATCCCAATACAGCACTTTCTTTATGTTCCCAGAGCCCAGAAGCTCAGACGGTTGCCAGCTGCCAGGTGAGCAGTGTTTACAAACAAACTAGGCTGGTCTAGCGTCTGTTCCGCCCTACTAACTCTCCTTTCTGATTAGGGGAAAATGAATGCGTGGTTTTATAACAAAATAGTTCGAATAAATGTAGATTTACACGTGTATATGTTACGTTCAAGCTCCGAATTCGGACAATGTCCGACATTTTTAGCCACTTAGCGATGTGGATAGTGTGAAATACCCAGGTCGCGGAGTGAGTATTTTATTCGGACATTGGCCGAAGCGAAATGCCCAGACCTTGTTGTGGGTAAATTGATTTACTCAAATGCCGAAGTTTAAACGTTCTTCGGTGATTGAGTAAATCCAAAATACCCACAACGCGATGTGAGCAAAAGTAATTGCCCATGTCGGGTTGTGGATATTTCTAGTTTGCGCAAACGCAGAATAGAATAGCCTGTATAAACTAACGCATACACAAATATCGACATGAAATCTACAATCACTAGGTAAAATCAAATTAAATAACGTTTAAAATTATATTGATTTAATTAACGAGTATAAATAACGTTTTAGAAAAATACGGGTAAACAGCAAACTACCGTATAGGAAAAATTTTTAATATGCCCGTAACAAATACATATTAATTGAAATAATGTTTTTCGCAACCTTAAAACGGCAACCATTACGAAGTAGGCCTACTTGATACATTTGTATTTTACTTGTTGGCTCAGTATGTGCTGCAATGTCATATATAACTGCATTTTATATACCATAACCAGTACATAATGTACAAAATGTACGTGAGTAAATTTTCATGATTTACCCAAACAGTTCCTCATGCAAAACACACCTTGCTTGGATCCGGATGGCATCATTGCTTCTTTGCGTACGTTTACTTGCTTATCATGTCCATCCACGTTGAAATTAATTTTATTTGGCGTCATATGGAATTGGTTTCTTGAGATATATTTGTCCAGAAGTCCATGTTTTGTACCAAGAGTCCCCGGTCAACATCAGGAATGCTGACCATCACGTTGTCTCCGGCTAAAACTGGGATTAATTTTCTTTCCGTGTTCTGAAAATTTTTTGTGTCCGGATTTTTAAGGAAGATATACAGTTTTCCCATGTTATATCAATTGCAGATTTTCTTGAGTAAAGAGTGCAAAAGGTATGCTAACTGCTTTCTATTTATATCTTCGTTATGGATGTCCTGTGAGAACGAGAATTCGGCGTTTGCGCAAACTAGAAATATCCACAACCCGACGTGGGCACTTACTTTTGCTCACATCGCATTGTGGGTATTTTGGATTTACTCAATCGCCGAAGAACGTTAAACTTCGGCATTTGAGTAAATCAGTTTACCCACAACGCGGTCTAGGCATTTCGCTTCGGCCAATGTCCGAATAAAATGCTCACTCCGCGACGTGGGTATTTCACACTGTCCACATCGCGAAGTGGGTAAAGATTTCGCACATTGTCCGAATTCGGAGTTTAAGTGTAACATATACAACATTTTATCGAAATCGGATAGTTTTTGCTCGAGTTATTGTGCTAACGGATGTTTCTATATATAATATGTATGAATTTGAACGGATGGTGTTTTGGCCTCTGGGGACCTCAAAATGAAAAAGCAAATCGGTCCCGGATCTAGGTCTTACCATTAGACCTACGGTACCGGTAATGCTTATTCCATATGGGTAATTCACTAAAAACGCCATAAATAAAAAGATGTACTACTAAATAATATATGAAAGTGGAAAGTATAGTAATAAATTTAATATAATGGATACACAAAGGCGGGATATAGTATATCCAATGTGAAATCAGAAATCACATATTTATGTGAAATTATGCTGTGTGAAGTTAAAAGTGAATGTACGCCACAGCCGCTAGGGAACTTTAAACTGTCAGCATTTTGGCTGTTACATAGCCTTTAGGATAGAAACAGATAATTATAATAAAATTTATTTAACACAAACTAAAAATCGCTAACATAGCTGTATTATGCACCACTTATTGTCATAATAAACATATTTGAACTAATTTTATTCATAAATCAGAATTTAATTGGCGCTGGTATGACTGTTATAATTTAATGCACCTTGACAAAAATGCATTCTTTCGAATCCGCAGAGAGTTGTCTTGATTAAAAGTGCATCTTAGAATAGAAAACAACTGCAAATAATAATGACTAACCTAGCTCCCGCTCGGAGTTCATTGTTTATACATTCTTTTGTACAAATGATGCTCGTCTCTTTCAATTGCATTATTGTATTTTATAACAATCTGAAATTGACTATCTCAATGCACTGCAGTCTCAATTACAGCATATTTATGATTCTTATTCTATTGATTGTACCAATATGTTATAATTTTGCTTATTATGATCAACTTTTGGCAATCGTATATTCCGTCGATTCCAAATGCCACAATTCAGCCAGATTTGCTACCCAATTTTTTTCGTTTGACCTAATGGTATGCATGTCGATAGAATTTGGATTTAAGAAGAAAATAGTTTACGAAATTTCTGTTTTGTTTTGTAGTATGCTACCATTGACTATGAATCCTTGTCAATGATGCTACATAGCCTACATTACCGATGTTCAAATTATTTCTTCTTTTACCCTAAGGTTAGTTTTGGACCAGGAACACTGAGGACAGGATTTTCGTCTCTTTGAATGATTTTCACGGATAATTTTTTACGAATTATAAAGCATAAATATAAAATATGCATAAGTAAATAAAACCTTAAAAGGTAAGATTACTATTTTCTAACTCTCGCCAAGGAACGAAAGTAACTTTTTGTAGTCTCGAAGTTGTGTTTAATTTTCTATGTAGTCAGATAGCTTTAGAAATGATTGAGCTTGCAAGACGCTTCAGCTCGTAAAGTTAACGCTGTTTCCATCACGATAAAAAAAGAAAATGTGTTAAAATGGAAAAGATGACAATCTTATGACAGAAAATAGATGTTAACACAGTTAACCAAAACATTAGATCTAACGTCATTAGTACAATGTATTGAAATAAAGATTATGGTTGCTAGGTAACGACATAACGACAACAATGCGGATGATGAAGTTACCACAAATGTGGATGGAACCTTTTAAATAGTGCTGTGTTAAAGAAAAATGTTTTACCTAAATAAATGAACATTTGATCCAGAACCAGCATCCAAGTAGCAATTTTCGGCAGCCCGGCTTGCAAAACGTCAAGCCAACTTACCATAGAGAATAAGCTATTACCATAGGATTCATGGTCAGACCTAGACCCGGGACCACTTTTATTTTTCGTTTTGGTGTCCTCAGAGGTAAAAAGACAACTCATTTTAAAGGCCATCAGCCAAAAAGAATATTGGCAAAAATTAGAGGTCTCTATTTTAACTCATTACATAATGGGGGCCATTTTTATTTTTCATCAGCCTGAGAGACAAAACGTCATTTAAAAATATACATCAATAAAATTTATTTATTTCATACCAAGCTATCAAATTTTGCTAAAAAACCATACATGCCAAATACATCTTAAATGATTAAGGTAATTTTTTAGTGAAAATCTGATCCACAAACAGCTGATAACATGCATAATCAGTAACGGTGAAAAAAATGTTTAAACACATTTATTTTCAGTTCCTGGGCATTAACTCCCGTTGCAGCAAACTTGTATACCTTACAACTATGCATTTGTTTTTCTGTGTCAAAAACATAACTTAATTTCCCGACAACCTGGAAAATATGATATAACATATGAACATATCTAATATCTTCACAAAAAATAAACTAAGAATGACAATTTTTTTGGAAGCTGAAAATCCTTTTCCTCTAACCATTCCTAAGTTGCACTTAAACATCCCTTTCACTCAAGGGTAGGGGAGCAAGGAAATAGGGTCTAAAGAAGTTGTTGGCACTAACATTTTCGCTGGAAGAGAATTGTCAATGAGTCATAGTGTTTGCAATCACGTATATTAATACCGCTGCAATCCCCTACTATCTATTGATAATTATCATCCTGGTACAACTAAACGCAGTAAAACAGTATGCAACGTCAGTACCGATTCAATTGGAATTCCTATCTTTAAAATTGTGTTACTAAACAAAATTTTCTGGAAGAAGAAATGGAACTCCATTCCACAGTGTCCTGCAAATTTGGGCATAGCAAAAATCAGTTAACAAAACTATTATGAACCAATTACTCATCAGCGTTTGATTGGAGTGAGACGATAAATGTACAGTACAATATTTAAATGAACTGATTGTTTTGGTTGTATTCTTGGCAGGTGAGACTGAAGCACAGATGTAGGGGCAAGGTGGGCATGCTGGTGTTGCTGTGTGCCCACACGGGCAAGGTGCTGGCGAGGGACGCTAGCTACCACCTCAATGATGACCCCACGGGCAGCTGCTTCCCTTGGATACCTCGTCCTGCCCACATACTCATGAATGAAGCTGCCCAGAAGGGCTTGATTGCGGGAGGACTCAGGAAAGGTAATGTTCATCCTGTGTATAAGAACCACTCTCATATCATGACTTGTTCATTATCAGAAGAATTCAAAATAAGGGTCGGATGAACAATCTAATTTACAGCGAGGTACATATGACTTCTGTCTTTAAATTGAGGTCTTCATCAAACTCAGATCCAAGCCATAAGCAAGCTTGAGACCAATGACGTGTTCTTCATTTCAAATACTACTGTTGTAGCCCGTTCTCACCCTTATGTGACGATTAGTCTCATCGTAGTAGCTGAAAACGACATGAAGAAAAACTATTGTACATACGAGTGAGCCATGTGCAAAATACGAGAAGCGGAAGCACAGTAAACTTGTAGGTTTGTGTAGTATTCCCAGCAGAGGTACCCTCCCCCCCCCCAAGGTCAGAGGTGCAAAGACAAATCCCCCATTTCATAATTCCCATTTCTTTACCACCCCCTCCTCTGAAAAGTTGTATAAGAAACATTCTTTTTCCAATTCAAAAATTATGAGGAGGATGAAATAGTCACAATTGATAGTTGGGTTATTTTTAAATGATGAAATGGCCATGCTCATTATTAAGAATTGGGGATGGTCTCTTCACCAAACCCAGACAAAATCAAAAAGAAAAGAATGGACAAACGCAAGACAAGGTAGATAATACCGAAATGAAGAAAATATAACTTCTTTTACCCCGGTGCCCTCTCCTAGAATGTGGTTTTCTGTCTGCCTGAATCATAAAATAGTCAATAGAATAATCCGTGACAACGAAAATGTCTTGACATTTGCCCGCGGTTGCTAAGACATCTTCATCCGAAGACATACCTCTCGTGATCGTGGCAATATCTTGACACCCCTCAGTGGTCGCAAACACATCACCATTGCCTCCTGTGAACTCGACAATCTTTCAATATTTCCCACGGTCACGAAGACATCATCATCACCTCCTGTTATATCATTAAACTTGACATTTAACCCCTCACTGATAATGAGTTATGAACATGTTTTTTTAAACTAACGTATTCTATGATGCACAACTAAATTGTGTGTGACACATGGCCAAATAAGTTGAATGTATTTCAATGTATTACTGTACAGTACAGTGTACGGCCTCCACGGCTGCGAAATCATCATCACCGCCTCCCGTGATCGCGGCAATATCTTGAAATCCCTCCATACTCACAAAGATATCACTATCCTCTCTCTGGATTGTAGCAATATTTTGACATCCCTCCATGGTCAAGGAGACATCACCATCGTCTCTCGTGTTTACGACAATATCTCAACATAATTCCGCAATGGCGAAGATATCATCATTGCCTTGCCTTCCGTTATCACAACAATGTCTTGACATTCTCCTGTGGTCGCAAAGACATAATTGGATTGTTCCAAGAAACAAATTTAAATTATGAATATAACCTAAATCATGTTAAAAATAATCTTAAGTATGAATCAAACAAAACATATTTTAGGTTTGCTAAAAAACGTACCTAGTAAATTATTAATGGCATTAAAATCACCTCCTGAAATCCCCCCAAAAATCCCAGTGGCACACCCGCCTCACTGTCCCACCCTCTGGGCACCTCTGATTCCCAATTTCAAGAACAGTTTATTAATAATTTAATTTGGTTGCCAGGTTCTTGAAGTGAAGTACGCATGATATGAACATTTGAAGTACATGAGTGATCATATCACACGTACCTTAATAATCTGGCCAACCATAAGGAATCTTTTACGTTGATCCCATGTCCCAATCGGACAGAAATGGTAATATCAGGTGTGGTTCCTTAGTGCCTCTAATTAAAAGCTTGCTCTAGATATTATATTCTTTTTTTTATCACCAGCACCTCAGTTTTACCAAATTTCCCCGAATGGGGCCATTAAGGTTTGTATAAAAAAAACTGAAGTTTCCTCTGAAACACCCCATTTTGGGACAGTCAAAAACAGTGATGCTAAAACAACGTAGAACAAGGTATGTGTTGATGTGAGTTGATATTTAAATTCCTTCAGAGCTTTCTAAATTAAGATTCTCTTTTGATAAAAATATGATTATTATTACTCAGAAAAATGTACAAAACTTTTTATAAGTGATTAAGTCTGTTTAAGTTTACGAGGGGTCCGCAAATATTTTTGAAACTCTATGTTACTATTTTAAGGATGTTCTCTGGTTTCGGGGAACTCTAAAAATAAGAAAGAATACCTTGGTCCCTGACCCTGACTGGGGTCTGACATGAAGACTACACTAGCTATTTCATAAAGTATGTTTTCCAAAAAAAAAAAATACGGCAGACTATATACCAATAACTACTTCCAGTAACCATTGTGTTAAAATTTGATTGTTTGAACTGAAACACTCTTCTGTTATTGTATATTTAAAAAGAAAAGTAACACCGTATTAAAAATTGTCTTTGAAAAATCGTGAACAATGAATTGTTTTCTTCAGGGGCGTTTCAACGGGATAATAGAAAGGGTATCTCAACAGCTCCACCAGCAAGGATTGGTGTTAGAGTGGGTTTCAGTTGAAGTAAGCTTTTACTGAAGTGCTTTTATCACAAAACAGTGGTAGCCAACACTATTAAATTGTATTGTTCTCTTTTAAATCTAAAATAAGTGTTTAACTTAACATTATTAATAAAAATTCCTTTTTAAATCTAGATAGAATTTTTCCTAGTCTATGTAAAAAGCAGTAATTATTAAAATGGTGAAAAATAATTTGGTGGCCACCATTTTAATAATACGTACAACCTTTTTTTTAAATAAGTTAAGGTACCTAAACGTCTTTTGTAGGTGATTTATTAGTTTATTTTCATTGATCTGAAATAAAGTAATTGATTGGTAAAGGAGTACATTTTAGTGTCAAGGAAATTACTTTTAAGGAAGAGAATTCAATTGTGGTGTGGTTTTCAAATTGTACAGAACCAAATCACATGTTATTCCACTAACTTTTAAGCTCATCATACAAGATTTTGGGGAAAAATTTCACTTAAAAGTTAATCAAATTCAGAATAAATTTTCTAGTTATATTGTAAATTGTTTTTATTTTTACTTATACTGTATTCTAAAAATGACTCATTTTCCATGTAGGAGAATTGTAGAAAATTGTGCCATAGTTACAATTTCCTTTGTTTAAGATATGTTTTTTCAAACAATTCAAGGCCAGTAAACTATATAATTAAGAATGTTCATAATGTTTTAGGACCCAAAATAATCCCCTACAGTACATTGGATGGTTTCATCAAGGGGCTGTATTTCTCAGCACATTGGGTGAGTAAATATCAAATGAGTAGCATTTGATAACATAATCTACATCAATGTTAAAATACATTAATTTAATTCAGATGCCTGGATAGCCGATAGGCTGTTGTGCTCCCCTTAAAGGTAAATAAAAAACATAAAAGATTGATATTTTCTCCTCTTGAACACCTCTTGAACAAATCGTGTTTTTGGTCTCTATGTACATTAAAATTAAAAAGAAAATTGGTCATGGGTCTATGTCTTACTGTCCCAATAATAGTTATAGCTACTTTCCTATATGGAAATTAGTTAAAAAAGCCAATGGTATCCAACAGTGTTGTACTCATTACATTTAAAATTTCCTGCTCTTGTAAAGGGTGAATTACTTAAGTTAAGTTTTATACTTAATAATGTTTTACATGATACTCTGTGCAGATTATATAATTGATCTATCAATATATAAGTGGGTTGCATGTTACAGTGTCCTCCGTGTAAGGCTTTCACACCTCAACTCATCGAGTGTTATCGCAAAATCAAAGCTCGAGGACACAAGTTTGAAGTGATATTCATCAGTTCAGACAGGTTTGAAACTTTAGTGTCTTTACTTTCAGCAGTCAACTTTGTCAGCATTTAGAAAATAAATTCTTCAGAAATTTTGTGTAAAGATGTATCAAGGAGGGGGAACACAATCATAAAATAAATAATTTGCTGGTATAGTTTTGATTGTAAATATGAAAATTATTTGTATAAAGAGCTGTACCTCTAGTGTCTAAGGATGGAAGTTAAACCCTCCCCCACACAACTTCTTCTTTGACAAGATTTTATAAACCATATGACTGATATCCTTTTGTCCAACACTTAAAAATAAATATGAGAACTCATATATTTTGTTATAAATACTGCACAAGTTATTTATAGCTTTTTAGAATAGTTTGTTGAACTTAATGTAAGTTTATTGATATCCCGAAACAGTCAAAGGTAAACTGTCTGATAAATATACAGGGTGTCCTACATAAGGTGTCTCAAATTGATTACGGAAAAACGGCTTATCGTACAAGGATGAAGTAAAATTATTTCCAGCTAAATCGACCCGAAGGAATAACGTAAAAACATTTTAAATCTTTTTCCTATTCAGAGTGTGCCAAAAACTGAGGGTCACTAGTTTGAATCTCAGAATTTTCAAAATTAAGCATATGTTATGTTATGCATAATTTTAAAGGTATTTAATAGGTATTTAATTTGGCGAAAACAGATATTAATTATCTTTTTCCGTTTCACAATGGCGGCTATTTTTTTGGGAAAAATTAAAATGTTTTTAATACTCTGTGTTTCCCATACCAATGCACTTAGCCCTTCTCCGGTTGAATTTTCTTACTCTTTATAAAAATTAGCTTTACTGTGATGAGCTACAAGTAACAGTTTTTTTAAATAATAAAAATCCCTGAAAAATTAATTTAGAAAATTTGCAAATGCCCATTTTTCAAAATTTTCAAATATTAACATATGTCAAATGGCATATCATTTTATAGAATTTTAAATTCTTAACAACTTTATAATTTACACTTACTTTGTATCTATTTTAGTTTTTGTGTAAATAACAAAAAGACTAATTTTCCTATATCAAATGCATGTTATTTGGGTTTAACACTAATGGCCCCATTTCATTTAGCGTCAAACCCAAAATTTCTGTTTTCACCAACATGTTTGTCTATTAAAAATACATTTAAAACGGTGTATAACAGGACATATGCTTACATTTGAAAATTCCAAGATTCGAAATAGTGACCCTCTGTTTTTGGCATACCCTGTATCGGAAAAAAGCTAAGAATATTTTTACATTATTCCTTGGAGTCGATTTAGCAGGAAATAATTTTATTTCATCCTTGTACGTTAAGCTGTTTTCCATAATCGATTTGAGACACCTTACGTGGAACACCCTGTATAATGTAATGTAAGTTTCTTCAAATTTCAAATTTCACCTATATTCCTGAAAACAAAAAAAAAATTATATTTTCCTACAGTCACCCGGCAAAGTTGGCTTCCTTGTACTGTTTATAGTACAGAAAGCTGCTAATTGCTGCATATTTATACTTTGCCGTACGGTTTATACTTTGTCGTACGGTTTATACTTTGCCACACATCAGGATTCCAACGAAACAACACAAAACGGCGTGGTTCTATTATGCACGTAATCCGTGTATGCTTGGAAATAGGTTGGCAACACTTAAGATAATAATACTATGAGCAGCTGATTGACTATTATAACTACGATTTAACCTGTCATTTCGTGTTTATAGTTTTGGTATTTCTGAACTTTTTGGTGGACTTTTCTTTTAAACGTTTTTAAAACATTCCTACGATCCTAATAAACAAGAAAATACCTTTAAAGCATTTTTTTAAGCGCGGAAACCACTTCAAATTACAAAAACATAAGGAACTATATTCTCAAAACGCGGAGCACATTTCTTGCCGAGGAAAAATAGCGGAGTGATACGGACCGCGGGTACTACTTTCTCTAGGGCACCATTTGTGTTGCCAGCTGAACCTAAAAACGTGTTGTATAGTGTTTGAAAGACTAATTATTTATGCTTTATAGTGACTGTAGGAAAAATATAATGTGTAACACGAGTGAAAAAGGCCTTTGCTGCACTCGAGATCATTCCATCATTGCTAAAACATTCTAAACATTGCTCTCGTGTGCAGCAAAGTGCCACTTTCACCACTAGTTACACAAATAACTATTTCAATTCATATAGTTTCTAGTCATGCATTTACATCCAGTAATAAATTCTAAATAAGTCATTGAAATTATAACATTTTGGAATAACTTTTGGTTAATTTTATTTTTTTTATTTTAGGAGTGAAGAATCTTTTGAGAGCTATCTCTCCACGATGCCTTGGACAGCTTTGCCTTATAAGAGCTCTTACTGCAAGGAGCTTGCCTCAAACCTAGATGTCCATGGTATACCCACTCTGATCCTCCTGGACCCTGATGGAACCATTATCACTGAGGAAGGCAGGAGTGAAGTAAAGGAGGACCTTGATGGAGAGGTAAAATTCTAGAAAATTATGGTATGATTCCTGAGTGTTATGGAGATTTCAATAAGTAAATGGGAATTCACACAAACTTTCAATTTTGATATTTTTAGTCAAGTAAGTGGGGTATAGGCCAGTCAAATTGGACAATAAAATCGCAAAGCGTGATGTATTGCTGCATTTTTAATATGTTGTTGGGACCCGTTAGGGTAACTAAAAACCAAGTTTGCAGCTTCGAGATCCCTGTGCTCCCTGCGTAATAAGTAAAATATTACAAAATTAATGTATTTTTTTTAAGTTTTTGGTTTATAACTTATTAACAGTGCATTTTTCTTAATACTACTCAAATGTAATAATTAAAGTACATAAAATTTCCAACAATTTAAGCATAGTTTCATTTTTGTGTGTCAAATAGTTTTTGAGAAATGATTTTTCAAATATTACAAATTGTTTAAAGTAATTACCATAATTTACATTTTTCCTGGATTGGACCCACAAAAATTGTGTAATACCCATATTATGGCAGAATTCTTAAAAACTGCTTTTGTTGTAAATGTTATTGGCTTTCGTTTTATCATAAAGCCAAGTCTGTCTGTACCTTCAACACTTGTCTGAAAACTATACAAATAATAATTTATGAATATCACGATTTTTTTATTTAATGAGTTTAAATAATGTCCCCAACCATTAAGTGATAAAAACGAAATAAGGAAAAACATATTTAAGATTAAAAGTTATATTTAAAGATAAATAATGACAAAACATTCTTATAATTAATATTTTGGCTTTTTCGACACTGAAGGCAAGGTATTAGAAATGTTTCCTGATTCAAAATCTTCGGGAAAAGACATATTATCGTTAGGGTCATCTTCATCCTCTTCAATAAATGGTAATGTGACATTTTGGCAGTTCTTAGCAGAGCAAGGAGTACATAATGGTGAACACTTTATCCCGGCCTTCCAACATGTGCAAGCACCCTTGCATCCCTTTTTGCACCTACATGAAACTAGTTTCAGAAGGTTGGTTGGACTGCTTGTTGTTTTCACTGGAACCAATCCTGCTGTGCTATTTGACCAACCCCACTCTGTGGGATCCTTTTCAATCCCTAACCATTTTTGCACTTGGTGGTATGCTCGAAATTAGTGGAAGGAAGCTGCATCTTGGGGGTGGGCAAGCGTGATAAGTTTACCTTAGCGCAGGCTGCTGCCTTTACAAACAGGCGGAACCGAAGGTTTTCGAATTCATCGTGGAATGTGTTGTCACCATACAAAGCAATTAGGTACTTTTATCCAGCTTCCTAGGAGGAGTTTTTAGGGTGAGAATGGGGAAACCTATTTTAATCCCATAAAACCCCGTACCCTTTAGTACGATCATACTGGTTCATAACATTTGCTTTTAATTTAATCAAAATCGGATGAGTTTTACTCTAGTTCATGTGCTGATGGACATACACACACATTTACATAAACTTGAATGGAAGGCGTTTTTGACCTCTGGGAATTTGAAGTTGAAAAAGTAAATCAGTCCTGGATGTGTATAAATAATGACATTTTTTTGACATCGAAATAAACAAAATTATAAGGTTTTAGCAAATTTCATATATAGGGAATGATCTATTACCGTAGTACTCATGGTAAGACCTGGACCCGGGACCAATTTCAATACAGTACAAAATAAATAATATTCACCCTATAGATAGAAATAGCAGATAAAAACACAGCTTATCTTTTGCCATTTTAACTTAACAAAGTCATTTTTCCATTTTAGTTTAAAACAAAATCCTGCAAGTGACGTCCTGTCCTTTTAATCAGTGAACAAGGTTGACACAACAGGAGGTCGTCTTTCAGGCTCTCGGAAAAGATGCTGCGGGAAAAAGTACATCAGCAATCAGCATGAGTCTTATTGATGTAGAACCTGTACTATTGTAGTTAAAATGCATCATATACATATTTGAAACAGCAAAAAATTATATACCGTAGTAGTAGACGCAACGATTGTGTTCAAATCAAATCAAATAGTGTTTATTTCATATTGTACATAAATCAGTACATGGAATGGCGTCAAAAACTATATCTAAAACTTAACAGTTTTTGTGGGTCCAACCCAGGAAAATGTAAATTATGGTAATTACTTAAAAAAATTGTAATATTTGAAAAATCATTTCTCAAAAACTATTTGACACACAAAAATGAAACTATGCTTAAATTGTTGGAAATTTTATGTACTTTAATTATTACATTTGAGTAGTATTAAGAAAAATGCACTGTTAATAAGTTATAAACAAAAAACTTTAAAAAATACATTAATTTTGTAATATTTTACTTTTTACGCAGGGAGCACAGGGATCTCGAAGCTGCAAACTTGGTTTTGAGTTACCCTAACGGGTCCCAACAACATATTAAAAATGCAGCAATACATCACGCTTTGCAATTTTAGCCTCTTTTTATGTACGATTTGACTGGCCTAGTAGGGTGAGTACCATTTGCTTGACAAAGCACTTTGTTATCAGGCCACATAACTGTCTTTTTGACATATATAGATAAATAATTATGTATATCTTGTATACATCTAGATGTCCACATTATGTTCCTTGATCATTAGTTCGTTTTCTACATGTTTGGCAACAGCACAGATAACATGGCGCAATGAACACAACATTGATGTTTTAAGTAATTAACATGCCTTGCAGAGAATACCTTAGTGAAATGTGAACATGAAAGAGAGTTTAGGAACAAGATGTGTTGGGGAAGGGTGTTTTTAAAAGAATGGCGGGATTTCAAACGGTTGTTTGCTAGGGGACTATTCAATATAATTAAACGATTTAAACGTCAAATTGAAGGGAAAAGAATAAAGTTTTTTTCTCATTCTTTGATACAATTCGTAATGATTTAATAAAATTCAGATTTTCATCAATCTTACATGAGCGTAAAACTGGCAAAGTCTGTACGCTTAGGGCGATCGGTGGGTATATCTGATGTCTTAACTGAATATTTTTCGGCAAAAAGCCTCTATCCTATATAGATAACATCATAAAGTGGCCAATTTAGGTTCGTTCAACTGAAAACTTGGATTTTTTCGGGCTTCTGTTGCAGCATTGTCGGATTTTTTCGACTATGTCATCACTTGTTTTTAGCCGGCCAGGTGAATGTATTTCAAAACACTTCGGTGCCACAAAACTCATTAAACCAGCTTCAAGTTTCTTTATCATCAAGTAGATTTAAATTAAGTTAAATTTAGCAATGGATATAAACTCTGCGAATTACAGATTACAATCTGTACCTTCTGTTGCGCCGTAAACGTACTGGTGACTAGCGTCAGGCGTATGAGTCACAATAGTGGCCTACCACCGCGCACCTGTTTTGCGCATGCCAGGGTCAAAGTTATCTCCCTTGCTACTCGGGAAACAAAATTTAGTTATTTTAGCTTCAATTTGGCATATAAAACGTTTAGTTACTTTGAATAGTACCCATACAATTACCATTTAAAATCCCGGCATTCTTTTAAAAACACCCTCTATAATGAGCGCACAGACCTAAGTCACTGCAATACATGATACCATTTAGTATACACATATAAGAGGGGACTGATAAAGCTAATAATTGTTACCAATTTTGGCTACGTAGCTTGGTTCGCGGTAGTCAGTCGGTAGTGCAGTGTACCTCTGAACACCCTTAAATCATAGTATTAAAAATGTGTTATAAAACAAACAAATAAATTTCATCAACAAAATGACATTTTACAACCTACAACAAACGTTCAAATAAAAAAAAAAAAAAAAACTAAACTGCGACATGACTGAAGTGGTGTAGTTCAGGCCGCTGACTCTACTCTTCAACAGCGCTGTTCAGGTAACGGTAGCCCCCATTGAGTGTCTAATCGAGTACGTTTGTACTCATAGTTGATACTTAAGTATCAGTGGGTCTCTGTTTGTTGTTACCTTTCTCTGACACTTCAAATACAGGTATGAGTATTGTAAAACCTCAAGTTTCTTTTATTTGCAGTGTTTCCCATGGAGGCAGAGGCCAGTTAACATTCTGACAGACAGGCTAGCAGAGCTCCTGTATGATTCTCCTGCAGTTGTGCTGTTCGTAGGTTGGTTGAACTAGTTGTAATTTCGCTCTACATACTACAAGCATTATTCGATGGTAAAAAGGATAAGAGCTATTTGATAAGCCACCACTTTTGAATCAATAAACAATTAATATAAATACCTAGTTCAGCACCTTGGTGTTCGGTTGCTAAGTTGAATTCATAACCTAATTTCCAAAAAAAGTATCTATAAAAAAGTACCTTGCAGGTTTACCTCAACCTTTGTTATCGTAAAGGCAAGTTGTTGTTTCATCTATTTAGTAAATATCTAATTCTACGAGGGTAGTCTGTAAATTAAGTTCTCCATCAAGCTCTCACGGCCAAACGAGGCAACGCTGTGTTTTTTTTACTTCATTGCTACAATTCTAGTCACTTTCCATTGCTATGTGACTATTAGCTTTGACTATGGTGAGAACTAGACATTCCATCTTCATGTTAAAGTTATCACTAGTTTTTAAAGTAAAATATATATTATTATTATTATAGGATATTACCACCCACATAAAACTCAAATTTGAACATTTTTAAACAACACTTCCTTTACATGGAGAGAAAATATATTTCTTTTTATAGGAAGAGAAAGTAAAAATCTGTGATTGGCTCATTACACTGAAGCTGGTCCATATAGATGGTATATGTCTACTTCAGTATACAAAAGTCAATGCAATTCCGACACACCATTTTTACACCACATAGTAGCCAAAAATGGAGTGTCGGAAAATTTACGCTTCTGCTAAGGATAGATCTCCTTCTGTGATTAGGTTTGTTTGAGTAGGGATTTAATCCCTTTTGAAATGTTGCCAGTTACATATGTGTATGCAGGAAAGTGTTTTGAATAAAGAAATGTGCATAAGTGGCTTATGGAGTTCACAGAAGGCTTATGTACACATTTGAGCAATGAGGTCGGTAGGACTTCCATTGCGACAGTGCCTAAAGCTGAACAAATTTTACTTGCTGATCAGTGCGTTAAAGAATATCAGGGTTTACCAGTGTCCTGGATAGTTTTACAGAGCTGTCCCTATTAGTTAGACAAATTACTCGTTCAGTCACAACGAGATCAACATTAAAACCAAGATCCCTCTATTCTCAATCAAGACTGATGAAAGACCTCAGGCGGCATACACCATGCAAAACCTGGCAAACAATGGGCAAATGCTTAAGATCACCTCCAACTCCAAACTCCTTCTTTCCTTGTCGCTCGTTCTATGTCTATACTCTTTGACTTATCTCAATTTGATTCCATCCAAAGTGATGGACTTGAATAGTTGCCTTAGACCACCGAAATCTAATCACAGAAGGCGATTCCTACCCTGCAGGAGCTTAGATATTTCTTCACATCGTTTCTGACTGCTATCACATGACTAATTGTCACGTAGGGGTGGAAATTGGCTAGAGTTGCATTTGATAAAGTAAAGAACCCAGTGTCGGTCTCAGATTTGAACTAGCTTACTTGACTGCTATAGGAGCTCGATAGAGAACTTATTTTATGGATACTCCTCGCGCTGGTACATAAAAGAATAAGAGGTATTACATCAAAAACACTTCTAAAGCACTTCAGTGAAATCTTAAATTAATGCTTTTACTGAAGGTTGGGATTAAAAAATGTTATTTGTTTAAAGTACCTTACATAAAATCTAAATTATAACTTAGTGCGTATGGTTTTGTTAGGAGGTATATGGAAAAGTTATTTATTAAAGGCCAACCTCAATGATTGCACAGAATCAGTTTTATTGACCATCTCTGCAGTATTAACCTAATCCAGTCCCATCCTGTCTGAATGTTTTTTAAGTGCTCGTCTCAATTAAGATGCAAAGGTTACCAGATTACAACTGAGAAACGTTTCTATGCTTTTGGATCTAGTTTTCATTTGTCATTGTGAGTTCACATCTATTTGTAGTGATTTTGAGCAACATCATGACCTAAGAAAGTTGCCAAATATATCAACTCAAATGATTGTCTTAGTTGAGAAATAAAAATAATATTTTTCCAACGCAAAAATTAGAAACTAAATGTAAAATTTAGTTAAGTAGTTTTTAACAAAATTATTAATAGATCCAACCTTACATACAGTACTTTTAATTTTTTTTACTAGAGGTAATGGTTATGGCACTCTTTTTCAAAAACAACCCCTTTAACAACTCTTTATCCTATTATCTTAGTTATAATATTTCATAGTATTAGAAAATTAAAATAAACAATCTTGAAGTGAAAAAAAGGCTGTGTTTACTGGGGGGTCCCGGCCCAATTGCTGGCTGGTGGGGTGGAAGAGGATTTAGGTTTGTTGGTGCCAAGAGAAAGATTCCCCATGAGGAAAAGGGGGAGGGGGTACAATCATCTCTTGGGCTTATAGCAAATGCCTACTTAAAAAACACTGGCTCTTTCAGATGGAGACGAAGATGAAGACTTAGAATTCGGAGAAGCTGTTTTGCTACCAGTTGCAGAGTGGATTGCTTCTCGATCTCTTCATCTCGACTACGAATTACTCTTCTTTGTTGCTGTTGAGGTTTGTAAGAAGAAGTATAAAATTAAACGTTAAATAGACGTTCCATCTTGCATAAGAAAGAATGTTTATGGATTTTATTGATTGCCTATCATACAGCCTATAAATATTTTGTAGAATTGTAAGTAATTTATTTGTACATTTCTATCAAATGCTATTCACCCTCCTTTGCGAACAAAGATATCCACAAAGGTACATGGAAAATGCTAGGCAGGAATTGTGTGAACCAGATAGATCATGTTCTGGTGAGCAAGCGACATGCAACTTGTATTTACTCGTATTTACAATCATGGATGTGAGAGCCTGTAAGGAGACCTAATTGTGGCTCTGATCACTTTCTGGTTAAAGCTTTTGTGAAGGAGAAAATCTCTTTTGTAGCAAATGATCCCGGAGTGAAAAAGAAAAGGTGGAATTGTGATCTGCTCAATGACAATGTCAGAGAGTGAGATTACCAGCAGGCTATAAATGAAAATTTGATATTACAAGATGCAATTAATGGAAATATAGAAGCATGGAAATCGATCAAGAAAGTAATACACAAAGCTGCTGAGAGTACTATAGGTAAAAAAATATTACAAAGAAATGCAGAATGGTTCGACAATGAGTGTATGGATGCAATCATGCGGAAGAATTAAAAGAGACAAAGAATGTTGCAAAGGCCAACAAGACAGACTACTGATGAATATAAAAAAAAAACCGAAGAACAGCCAATATAATACTACTTTGAAAGAAAAAGAAACAATACATCAAGGCCCAGGTAAAGGAAATTCAGCATTTAGATGACCAAAATGAAACAAGGAAATTTTATACTGCGAATACTGCGAACTGCGATCAAACGTATGACTAAAGGTTTTCAGCCACGAGTCAACGCTTGCAAAGACAAGGATTGAAATTTTATAGAGGAAGCATCCACAGTACTTGACAGATGGGCTGAACACTTTAGAGAACTTTTAAATGGAAACAATACCGGAGAAGACCGAGTGCTAGACTGGCAGCCAAAATATCAAACCGCTGACTCGTGGGTTGAAGAGACCTCTTTAGAAGAGGTCGAGGTATGTAGGTATTAAGAAGCAGAAGAACCACAGAGCGCCAGGTGAGGATGAGATTAATGCTGAACTTTGGAAGCATGGAGGTCATGAATTGGCGTTCTGTTTACACAGACTTATATTAATGATATGGAGAGAGGAATCTCTTCCCAGCAACTGGAACAATGGAGTAAATACTCCTGTATACAAAAGGGTGACAAACTAGTATGCAGCGACTATCGTGGTATCACTTTGTTGGATGTAGCGTACAATATATCCTTTGCTACTTTCGTCATGCGACTTAGCCCCTTCACAGAGAATGTACTCGGGGAGTGCCAATGTGGGTTCTGGCCAGGAAGAGGAACTATTGATCAAATATTTAACATGCTTGTTTTTTTTATGGCTATGGAATGGACTTATGAATACAGATTTGATTTGCACATGTTGTTCATTGACTTTAAACAGGCATTTGTCAGTATAGACAGGAGAAAACTATTTGATGCCCTCGAACGTTATGGGAAGCTGGTGCGGCTCACAAAAGTTACACTAGAACACACTTATAGTTTAGTAGCTGTAGGTGGAAAACAAAGTAAAACATTCAGGATTTCAAGAGGTGTCAGGCAGGGTGATGCACTATCAGCTATGCTTTTTAATTTGGCCTTGCATAGTGCTATGTGTAGACTAGACCTGAGAGGATCATCAATCCTAGGATGATTCAAGCGCATGCCTATGCTGATTACTTACCTAGTGCGTGTTGCTAGACACCCTGAAGACCTATAAGAAATGTTTTGGACTATTGAAGAGGAGGCTAATCGTATGGGTCTGGAAATAAATGAGCAAAATACACACTACATGAAAATTTCTGACCTGGAAGCCAGAAGGAGAATCCATAACTTGGATGTTGTTTTTTTAGGCATGAGCCCGGAATCGTTTTTCACATTAATTCAGGCTAAACCTAGGGGTTGCAGCATTATCACTTAGATAAAATCCATTGATGAGTTGGCAGGATTTGAATCCAGGACCGCAGGGGCTCCTCTGTAACTTGGATGTAGGCAACTATTGTTTTAAGGATGTGGATGGGTTTGGTTACCTTGGGGCAGAGGCTGAATTGCAAAAACACTGTTGTGCAAGAAATCACAAACCAAATCATGGCTGGTAGAGCATATGATGCTAGCCTTGGGATCTTCAAATCCAAGCTGATGCACTACAAGACAAAGATGAAGCTGTAAAAGATTCTCATTAGGCCTGTTGTTACGTACGGTGCAGAAACCTGGTCCCTTTCCGAAGTGAACACAAACGCATTGAGAGTGTTCGAAAGGAAAATAATAAGAAGAATACATGGAGCGGTGAAGAAAGGGAATAGATGGAGGATATTGAAGAGTGTAGAAGTAAATGACATTTTGCAAGGGGAGGATATTGTGTGTTTCATCAAAGCAATAAGGATCGGTTGGTTCCATGTGGAGAGAATGTCTCATGGAAGGCAGCCCAAAGAACTATTGTGCCAGAACCTTAAAGGGACTAGGAGAAGGGGTAGGCCGAGAAGAAGATGGCTTGATGAAGTAGAGGATGACCTGAGGACGTTGAGAGTGAGGAATTGGAGAGAGATGGCGCAAGATTGAGGCGATTGGAGGCAAATTGTAGCGGAAGCCAAAGGCCACCAAGGCCTGTAGAGCTGCGGAAGTAAGTATGTGTCATCATCATGACGCAGAGGTATGCTCCAGGGAAAGGATAGTACCTCTGGAACAATGTCAAGCATAAAACCACCCAGTACCTGTTATTATTTGGAGGATCCAGTGCATTACTTAACACTCAGTTCTACAACAGATATTTATTTCTTAATCTATTGGTTAAATCTTTTCACTACTCCTTGTTTGTTTGATGGTTGGCCAAATCACAACATTATGTTGGTTGTGGTCCCAAGTGTAGTGTGCCGGTCAAAAGAAAGAGGATATTGATCATCCTGTATGAAAATAGTACTGGTAGTTTCATTCTTCAACTTGCATTTTTGTATAAAAATGTATTATTTGTTGTAGAACGAGGCCAGCGAAAGTCTGCGTTCCTTCACAAAGCTTGAAGATGCGTCCCCTCTTGTGACAGCAATAGACTTCCCCCTTAATAGATTCAGTGTTATGGAATATGGTGCTGAAATCACTGAAGACTCTGTCAAGACATTCGTTTCAAACTTTATAAGCAATAAACTTCCATTTAGACCAATCAGTATGAGTGAGAGTACACCTAGTGCATAGGCAAATGATTGCAATAAATAAATAATTTAGAGAATAAATTTATAGGTCGATGCTAGTCAAAAATGTTAAATCTTTAATACTGCCGTACTAAGCACAAAGGGGGTATCTGCACCTGAGCTGATTTTGAGAAAAAGAGGTTCCAAGTCTAAACCTCTTAATTTCGGTAACCATGGGCCTAGGATCAATATTGCCATATTTACTGAATTTGTAATTTTTTCCTTTGTCTAAAAGTACTACATTTATTTCAAAATGCTTATTTAACACATTTTTATGGCAGATACGGCTAATTGGAACAACTAACTAATCCTAAAATACTAAGTTATATAGCCGTATGTACAACTTACTAAGCTGATTAAGTAGTATCTGCGGCAGTTACGGCTAAATTACATTAGTAGCACACATTTACAACTAGGAATGCTTAGTAATGTATGTAGAACTATCTACTCATAAAATTATAATTTGCCAAGTCTTAATCATAATACTAAAATTAAAAGTGTCTAGATAATTTGACCTAATCATTAGAATTATTTCAGGAACAATTAATAGCCTAGGAATAGTAAAACAGCTGATAAAAATCAGAATTTATTTACAGATAATAGTAAACATTTTTGCACAAAAAACTTCTATTAGGCTAAATTATTCTGCAAACAAGGAAAGTTCCCTCTTAAAAACACTTATTATAAAGCTTAGAAGTAAAAAACAGTCATAAATCAAATCAACTTATTAACAAATTGATGACCGGCTTAAAAATGAAACAAATGTAATTAATACCGGTAATTGTCATGGTTTTTCATTGCACTAAAAAAAACCTCAAAAGCAAATATTGTCTGTATTAATTATCAGATTTATCTGAGATCACTGGGATATTTTCCCAAAATGAGAAACGGCTTTGCGGAACAATACCCTCAATTTATTTACAGATAATAATAAACATTTGTGCACAAAAAACTTCTATTAGGCTAAATTATTCTGCAAACAAGGAAAGTTCCCTCTTAAAAACACTTATTATAAAGCTTAGAAGTAAAAAACAGTCATAAATCAAATCAACTTATTAACAAATTGATGACCGGCTGAAAAATGAAACAAATGTAATTAATACCGGTAATTGTCATGGTTTTTAAAAAACCTCAAAAGCAAATATTGTCTGTATTAATTATCAGATTTATCTGAGATCACTGGGATATTTTCCCAAAATGAGAAACGGCTTAGCGGAACAATACCCTTTTTGGAATGTAATAGATTCTTCAATATTGCATTTTTTCACTTTTTAGTCATAAAGTTATGTACTTAAAACTTATATTTAAGAGACTGATCGTAACCTGTGTTAGCTTTATTGTTGGATAAAGACTAACTAATGTGTTTAAATTTTATCATATTTGTTTATTGTTCTATTTTTGTTGAACAGATTGTAAATTAAATAAAATGTAAAAAAAAAAAAAAAAAAAAAAAAAAAAACTCACGGTTACCAAAAAACTAACAACAACAAAGTTTTTAGGTTAATCAGTAACTTAAAGATGTAGCGTATTCAAAAGGCTTTTTTATAAAATAATAAAAGTGGACTGTATATGGGTTATTAATTTAATTTTGACAACAGAAAATAATTATGGACTTTTGGTTTAATTTTTAACACTGAATTACCACTTTGACGTTATTAAGGTCTTGAAAGAAGATCTGGTCGAATGTTGTCTAGTCCAGAAGATATGTTTAAAGAATGTCCAAATGTTCTCACAGTACACAGAATTTAGAGTCAAATTAAAAAGGGTTTATTAAATGCACACAAAAGGAAAAGGTAAATGAAACAAGTCAAAATAAAAGGAGAGAGAAATGAACGATGTTACACAAAGAAACGATATTACAAGAGAGAAAAATTTCACTTTTTTAACCAGAATGTTTACATTTTCAAATTTGTATTATTGTATTGTTGTTGACATGTGGGGATCATTTGAATATGCTCTCTCTCTCTCACACATATGGTCAGCTGGCCTTTTAAATACTGAACAAAAGCTACCTAACTAACAAACAATTCTTGCAAACATGTGAGAATGTTGCCAACATACTAAAGCAAAAAGGTGGCAACTGCTACTTTACTAAGATATAAAAGTGGTATGTACGTATTAATAAGGGAATAAGTCGTATCTACAGCAGATGCGACTTTTATTGCTTAGTGAATGTCACTTACAGCTAAAATAACCTAGTAAAACATGTCATTCGTGCAGATACGACTAACTAAAAAATACTTTTTTAAAGGAAATTATTTGTTGTTACGGCTAAAATACCTTAGTAGGTAACTGATAGGTAAAATCAAGCTCAAAATCAAGTAGATATCAATATCTCAATATAGCCAAAAATTGCAGATACCCCCTTTGTGCTTAGCACGGCAGTATAGTCTCATAGTAAAGAATTTCTTCCATAGAGTATATTTTGGCCTTAGAAAATGAATATTAAAGATAATAGTTTTGTATATAAATAACTCTGATCTCATATGAAATATTTTCATACAATCATGTACTGAATGTAAAATATTAATAGAATCCTGGTTTGTGATATAACATATTATTTAAGAGATAAACTTATGATTATCTTGAAATGCATTATGTACTGTGTTGTTTTGTTTTTGTTGAAAGTTTGAATGTTGTATCGTGGTTTTCAAGTCTGGAAGGGATATTGTTCAAACACAGCAAACATAAGTGAAATCACCATGTGTTTAAAACTAAACTATAGCTTAGTTCAGCATAAATATCTCTTTGTATTTTTTTTTTACTGTCAATACTATACCCAGTACTTCAGAGTTTTATGACAGTAGAAATACCACGATGATGATCTTTCAAAATGTAATACAGTAAAACCTATCACAAGCTTGAAGAATAGTCCTGCTCTTCAGCACTTAATTGAGAATAGATCATTTAGGAGCTTATAACATAAACCTTATCATGACCTGAAATCTTTTACATGGCAAATCCCTTTTAATCCACTCCAAAATCCCAGCTTTCATGGGTGTTGACTTTAGAAATTACTATATCGGGGGGAATATTCCTTATGAATGGAAGGGGGTGGATGGAAAGGAGTTTGAACACTTTGTCAAGATCAGCTTTTTATCAATAATGCATCCTAATAGATACTGAATCTTTTACAATTTATCTCTTTAATCATAGCAAACCTGTTTAATTCCATTCCTCATTCAAATTTTTGTGAAGAATGAGGAACATCACAAACAATCTCTGAATGGTCTCTTAAGTTTCTAGAGCTACAGTTTTCCCCTGACGGTGATTGGTTTACCTTCTAGGAGTCTTTCTAGTGTCAGACCAGACTCCTGTTACCGACTATCGGGAGTGTGTTTATTGAACCAAAGGACATGCAGGCAAAGGAAACTTCTCAAACACTTTTGCCCTGAGATGGGTATGTGTAAACTGGAGGTGCAGAATGTCAGAAAATGAATGACATATAGTATTTAATTGCACTTTGATGGTTCTTCCTTGTGAATCTCCAAAGAAACAACAATCAATGCTGAGCTTGGATGGATTAGCTCCTCGGATTTAACTTTGTAATGGGAAGATCTGGGGGGGGGGGATCTTCTTTTTATTTGATTTTTAACTTCATCTTTAGACAAGTTTAGGAAAGTCAATTGTATTGGCGGTTCTTTTTAAAATTCAAGTTATGCCTGGTAGGTGACTGGAAATGCCATAAGATATATGTATAGTTCATACTACACATAGCTTTTGTTATTATAGATAAGTAATAACCTGCAGAACAAAACTTACATAGCTTACATCCATCCTTCAGCATCACAAAGATACATGAGCCATTTCCATGCTTACTAAACATAGGATGTAAACATTTTGAAGAGAAAAGTGATGTAAACAACAAAGTTAAATTTGGTTTAACCTAATAAAATATTGTAGTTTTTTTTATTTAAACTTATTGTTTTTTTTATACCTGTTACAAACAAATTATTTGCTAACCATCGGTTTTAGTGCCAAATGATCCTGATTAGTAGTTGATTATGTAACGTGTTGACAAAGCTGGATTGCAGAGAAAGTTAATGGTCGGTAAAAGAGTGAAATGAGAGGAAAATAACTTGAAGGAAAAGAACTATAATTAATAGTTCAAGGGAAAATAACTAAATTAATGGGTAAGGTAGTTGTGAATCTGCAATTTGTTGGGAACTTGAGGTCGCGGGGTGATACAACATGTCTAGCAAGGGATCAATGAGAATACTTAAAATAGAATTAAAAAGCACACATAAAACTAAAATGACTTGAGTTGAGCTGTGAGTTGACTTGAGCTTTGACTTGACTTGAATTATTAAATGTGGAGAGGAAGGTGGCGTTGTCGTCTTTGGCAGCATCATGGCATTGAGAGTCCTAGAACGTGTGCTTCTTTCTTGCAAAATGTTGAGAACGTAACGCACCCAAGTTCATGGACACAGAATAAGCTTACTAAAAGACGGGAGTCATGGATGTTACTAAAATGAACGTAATATCTAGAGGATGATACATGGACTTGCACACACTGTCTTGAGGTTTGAAGAGTCAATTTTGTTAGAACACTGTAACACAATTTGGTTTATTCACACAAAAAGGGGAGTTTTTATTGTAAATACTGTTAAACTATAAAATATTGAAAGAGGTATAGAGGATCTTTAGCCTTAAAATTGAAGTAGAGAGAATGGGAAATAATGTCTCGAGAAAATGTTTATGAAAAGAGTAACGAGTAGTTAACACCACAAGAGATGGACGCCAACCACAGATTAGGCAGGACGCCATTGACGGGGGGTCACTTTGATATACAATTTTGCTTAGATGGTTCTAGCAATTTGTCTGCCAATCAGAAGTGCGACTGGCATGCTGCCAGGTGTGTTATGGGTAGTACACTGGGGACCCAATATTCTATGTTTTTTTTTTTTAAGTAAATGCAATTTAAAAACGTTTATATTCTTGCCATTTTTCCTCTAAAGCTTCTCGTTGAGGAGTTACAGCTAAGAAAAAATTACTTGGGGGGTACATTCTGCGTCATGTAGCTCCTTAACGAGTAAGTT